ACCCATGTCCCTCAGCACTGTGTCTAACAGTCTTTGAAATCCCTCCAGGGATGGGGACTCCACCACTGCCCTGGGCAACCCCTTCCAATGCTTCAGAACCCTTTCAGCAAAGAAATTCTTCCTCACATCCCATCTCAACTGCCCTTGGTGCAACTTGAGGCCATTTCCTCTTGTCCTGTCCCTTGGGCCTTGGTTGAACAGACCCACCCCCACCTCTCTCCACCCTCCTCCAAGGGACTTGCACAGAGCCACAAGGTCTCCCCTCAGCCTCCTTTTCTCCAGGCTCAACAACCCCAGTTCCCTCAGCCAGGAACTCAGCACACTTGTGTTCCAGACCCTTCTCCAGCTCCGTTGCCCTTCTCTGTACACGCTCCAGCACCTCCATGTCCTTCTTGGACTCAGGGGCCCAACACTGAACCCAGCACTCGAGCTGCAGCCTCACCAGTGCCCAGTACAGGGGGGACCATCACTTCTCCAGTCCTGCTGGCCACACTAGGTCTGATCCAGGCCAGGATGCTATTGGTGTCCTTGGCCATTCTGCTGGCCTGTTGGGATGGTAGGGTGCAATTGAGGTGGTCCAGCTCTCTCTTTCACTCCCTGATACTCCTCAACCTACTCACCTCCTCCTGGAGCTCTGCCACTAAGAAGAGGAGCTCCTCACCCATGGGAGTGCGCCCACTGCTGCCTTCCAGCACCACCCTCAGGGCAGCGTGGTCCCACCAGAGCTCGGTCTGGGCAGCTGCGTCAGTCATGGTGGGTGCAGAGCTCAGAAAGGCCATGGCCTTCTGCAGGGTGGGTACCACCACTCCCTCCCTGGTTATGCTGACAGCACTTGCGCCCTTCCCTTCCTGCACACCCTGCCACCCCACGCCCTTGCTGAGCTGCCATGTCCCGTTTGACCACCAAACTGCCACCCCACGCCCTTGCTGATGCGTCACGCCCTGTTTGCCCACCCTGGTCCTGGTGCTCCTGGTGGCATGTGCTCCCTAAGGGCTTCTCTTGTACCTGAGAGGGCACTTGGCCCCTGTTGCTCCCAGTCCCACCCAGGTCTCGTCAGCCCCCAAGGCACAGCCATGGTTCCTAGAGGCTCTTTCGACTCCCCCCGCGCTCCCCTGGTTCAGGAAACCCTCCCATGCGCCACGCTGGAGCGCTCTGCTGTGGATTGTGCCGACACCAGAGCTGCTGGCCTCGGCGATGTTATTGGTGCTTTGTAAGGGGAAGGAGAAGAAAATTTGTGAGTTTGACAGCACCATTACAGCTAAAATAATTATTTTGCTCTAGTGCTGGCACAAGACTCGTACCAAGACGCTGGATCTACACAGCCACAGAGATCACTCCTTGCATCAAACACTGGGGATTTCACTCCATGGGGATCAGCACCAGTAAGGACTTTCTTGTTTTTCAAAACAAACCTCTTTCAGGAACCTGAAGGGGCCAGATTTCCACCATCATCAGTTCCCCCAGGCACCCTAACAGACAAAGCCAGCTTCCAAAGTTTTCTGCAATTTTCATTCAGAGTCGTGCAAGCTCCTGGGGGATTTTGAATCTTTCCACTTCATTTAGGGACATGTGGGATCCCCAGGAAGTCTTA